AAAAAAATTATAAGTCATATCTTATAGGGTTTTTATTGAAAAATATTAATGATTCATTTTTGGTACACTATGCAAAATAGACATAAAAATTCTTTAGTTAGTATGACATATCTATAACAAAATTATAAACCACATGCATACCACACCAAAACAAAACCAACAAACCAATAAAGGAAGCATAGTACTAAATACATGTCGTAATTATTACCATTAGTGCATGTTGTCCCATTTTTGCATCAACACGAAATAAGCCCTCCATACACATGATAGTTACGGAATATAGACAAAAGTACTAGCAAATTAATAAATAAGAGCCTTACCTTTAGAAAATATTGTTTGTTTAACGAATACACCAAAATATTTCTAAATAATCCACTTCCAAAAGAGTACGTAAATGAACCCGCTATCAAAAATGCGCGCCAATTGGTATAACGTCAGAAAGATACAAATATTGAAGTCAAATGTCATTATTTTAGTTAATTTTTGATAAGTCAATGGATAAAGGAATCACTGCCATTCAGCCAAATGTATCGATATCAAAACTGTTGTCGGGTATCCTCGCAAAAAGTTATTGATTCATTTTTGGGACTCTATGCATTTAAGGGTTAATCCTCCCAAGATAGTCGCATATTTTTGATCCTGCTCTTTTTGGATCAACATCGCTCTTACAATTAATACAATTAATAGAAGTAGTTGCGCTGGCAACTGGAGAATTATTTCAAATAAGGTGCGAAACATTTAAAAGTCTAGAGACTATAATAATTAACAATGACCTGCGGATCGGATGCATTTTTTTAAAAAAGTCCTGCTTTTTACATCCGACGCAGTAATTTATTTGCTGTCTGTCGATGACTATATTTGAATCCATGAAACTAATATATTAGGTCTACCAGAAAGTTCTGTCCGTTTGAGAAATGAAAGGAAATAATAGATTTTTCATAAATTTAGTAATATTTATTGTACAATGTAATTTCCGTCGTTACTTATGACCTCTTGCCAGCGTGATGGCAATTTGTGAGCAACATTTCTCAAAAATATATGTCTCACACACGCTTTTTCGATTCAGTCTCTAATCATTTGTTAATATGATACCGCATCTGCTTGATAAATATTAGAATGCAGCACTGTTCGAATAAGTAAGCGAAGAAGACCATCGATTTTTATAGAAAGGGTGTAAATTAAAAATAATAGTGGTGACCCGACCGAGGACACTTTGCGACCCTCCTGGGAACCCGAAGTCTAGAGAGCCGAACCCAGGATAAAGGAAGTCCGAGATAACCTTAATCTCGGGGGTTTACGAAAATGTATTAAGATCGACAGTTCTCCGATCGGTCTTCATTCATTTTTCCTGAATCGGCGTCTGGCGGTCAATTACGCTTAATTGAGACTGGAAAGAGTTTTTGGCGAGAAAATGGCTTGAATATTTGAACGTTCCTGTCGAGTGTCGTCGAAGGGACCGTCGAAGGGACCGCCGAGGGTACTCACATATGTCTATAGACAGTCCTCCGGAGGTGCAGAGGATCAGTAGGTAGAAGATGAGGCACGTCTGCAGGTAGCCCATGGTGGCGTCGATGGATGGTCGGCTAGCCAGTGGTCATCGAACTCTCATAACCGCTTCTGTAACAAGGATCGACACACGACTGTTTAAAATAGACGTCTAACTCTTTCATAGACTAATAAAGCAGTTTGAAATTACGTCTAGCTATTGTAAAATAAATAAATATTATATAATAAATATATAAATATAAATAAATAAATATATAAATATAATAAATATTATATAAATAATTATAAAAGCGTATTTCACATGTGATTTTCCAATAACTATGTTGTATATGAACAATTACTAAGTACCGATTTTCTTTCCAAGCCTCGTTGCCAATTTTCCAATTTTCCAATTTTCTTGTTGCGCTTTATCAAATCACATGTTTTATACACTTAGAAATATATGTGGCAACAATTTTCAAAGAACTTTATCGGAAACTTTCTCTGAGACGATTCAGTGTTTAATTTTAATTGGTGCTTCTTGTGATCGGTAAGTTCTTAAGATATATTAAATATCCACGGTCTCGACTAAAGAAAAAATGATGAACGAATTGTTCTTGTTTATAAAAGTTGGAAGCGAGCTTCAATATTAAGTATTCAATTTAACACTTCCACGACCGCGCTAGAAACCTCACAAATTTTCATAAAATTAAAATATTTCATTCGATTAAACCAAAATTATGAAGCAAACTTATATGGCGTCGATCACTTCTTCAGCATTCGTACCTCTTGCAAATCTTAATAAAATTAAGCGATCATTTTTAATTTTTCATTAATCGTCCATTCGGTCGTCAATCGACTGAATTTAAAACGGGTAGATCTCCCCGTTCGGTTAGCTAAGTGTTAAGATTGACGATTGATTAAAATCGATTCAAGATTTTAACTTCTGCTGATCAACTTTGAATTAAAATAAAATGTATGTACAAAAATAGTGCCAACAAAACATGGCGCACAAAATCACTATTTTCTGTCGAATTTTTAAAAGATTCCTCTAGGACAAAATAGAAACACTCGTTCCTATTAATGCACAAGTATATCCGTATCTCAGAAATTTGCGTACACTGCAAACGCAAAAAGCTCCGTCCACTAACGAATAGACCAAACGAATCAAAAACTCTTTTCTCGATCTCGAGGTCCATTTTCGCGAAGATCGAAAGGGTGTCGTTGAAGGGTTAACCATCTCACGGCCAATAAGGAACCGATAAAACTGCGCAAACCGTGGACCGGTGGCGTTACGGTGAGAGGAAGCAATTAAACCTAAGTTCCCGGAGAAGTAGCAGGAAGAGGATACGTGGAAGAGGAACGAGGGTCCACGAGGATCGTAGAAAAACAGGCTGAAAACGGCCGTTTCGGCCTCCCCCGTGCTTTTCGCCGGTGTGAAATGGCGCGGCTCTTGTACCGGACAGATATACGACCGGTACAACAGCCACGGACAAAGAGCTACATTCACGCCAGCAACCATTACGCGTCATTATCGAGATTAGGATCGGGAGTTCGGACTGCTAGGAGGGGCAAGAGGAGAGAGAGAGGACGAGCGGGAGAAGAAGGGCACAGATAACCGAACAGAGAGAGAAAGAGAGAGAGAGAGAAAGGAGCGGAGAACGCCGCGGGGACCTTCGGCTGGTTGTTCTTCTGTTCGACGAGGGCTCGTGTGCAGCGGATGCTGATGGCGCGGGAGGGTGGGCCACGTAGAGAAAGAGGACTGTACTTTATTCACGGTGGTGCCGTCGTGGCGCGGCCCGTCGAAAAAACCAAGCACCAGTCTCGGATGGAGGGGCCATAGGCGAGCCTTCACTTTTTGGCTAATTAACGGCAGTTTCTCCGACTACCGACTACTCCGCGATGCTTATCTGGGGAAGTTCGGGGTACCTCGTTATTCAGCCGGCCGTGAAAAAATCCCCTGCCCGATGACGCGTTCGTTCCTCGGTCCCGCGTGTATATCGGGCCGGCATCGCGAGCGGCCGGGGCCGGCGAACCCAAAAATCCCGATTCCTCTCGAATATCGCGGCGGCGAGGGATTTTTAATGAAGTCGTCCGGGTAGCTCGGGCGATCTCGGAGTTTTTGGGGAACCCAGATGGTATGCCGGTCGTTCGGCGAGCGGGGAATTCCATCGTGATCAGCGGTGAATGAGTCCGCGACAGTTCCATGGAGTCGCGTAATCGATTAAGTGGCCGAATCGGATTATCCGTCCGGCAATTAAGATACCATTCAGCATGGAGAGGTTACGTCGGTGCCGGTGTCTGGCCTAGCACGATCACAATGCCGGGGATCGATTAGTAGACACGGTAATTAAGGTCATAGGGTGCATCCGAGCTTCGGTTACTCGAGCCAGCCGGAGCCGCGGACCCTGGTCCCAGACGGAGTCGTTCGCGGACTGCTTGAATTTATCGTGACGCGTGATTAATCATTGGTCACGGACCGCGCGGAACGCGTCGCGGTTAACCCGTCGTCGGATTCCCATGTATCGATCCCGTCTGATTACCGGCGGCTCGAGCAGGTTTGCAATCATTAGGCCGAAACGTTCCCAATTAGAAAGCTCCTCCTCTTCCGTGACATTTCTCCGGCCGCTCTTCGCGGATCCGTAAATTCAGCCAGAGCTATTCCGGGAAAGAACTCTAGAACGCGTCGCAGTCATCTTTTGTAATATCCACAAGTGTTTCGGATTATCACGGTGATTAATTAAGTGATCAGTGTTTGGTGGCAGTGCAGTGAAAGATCAGCTGTGCGTTGTACGAGGTCAGTGCCCTTCGACATCGTGAGCCACAATTCCCCAGCCAACAAATGCATCCTCAACTAAATAGACGAGTTTCTGATTAATAATATTTTTCATATTTCTCTGACACGGAATTATTTAAATTAAAATAACATTTACGAACTTTGTTAATCTTCACTGTACACCTTGCATACAAATTTCATATGGTACACACGAGATGTTATGCACACCAGAAAATTGGAAAGGCTGTCATGGTTAAACTTCATATTATTTCGGGTCCGAAAAATTAGTAAATATTCTTCAGACGTTCTGAAGTAAAGGTGAACAGCGTATTTCTTAAAAATATCACTTTTACGTAGTAAAAAAAAATCCGGAAAGTTCACGCTTCGTGACTTGTTCAATACTTCGAACGCGGCTCGAGTCCGTTCCGACGTTCTGTCAAAGCCTCGTGCTGCGGACTCTCTCTCTCTCTCTCTCTCTCTCTCTCTCTCTCTCTCTCTCTCGCACCGTCACCTCTCATTGGCCAGTGTTTTTCGTTAATAACTCGTAAACAAAGCCGCGGATTGCATTTTCGCAAAGGAAAAAGTTACTTCAAATGACCTCAGCTACCCCTCATTTTCGGCTGTTAAAATAATTGTGGAACACCCTGTATAAATTTCGATCGCGGATCTAGATCGAGGACCGGCTATAGAGGGTGGGTTTATAGTTGCCGGTCGAAACGGACCACGGTTTCTCGCGCTATTCCCGGCATTGGCGCCGGCATTACGTTCCCTGTAAATCTAACCCCGCGATACCACCTGGGAACGAAGAAATCACCTGGATTTAGTGGCTCGTTTGTTCTTGGACTCCTACGATACGCACATTGCCATCTTTCATCCGCTGAAACACCAGCCTCGGACGCCGACTTTTACCCGCGGTCCGGCTACACATAAAGTGCCCTTGTGCCGGGCTCTGGACGCTCGATTTCCACGGTATTCGCCTTTTCCTTCCCTTTGAATAAGTCATACTTTGGCGGTCCGACTTCTCTCTCTCTCTCTCTCCCTCTCTTTCTCTCTCTTTCTCTCAAGCTCTCCCTTTCGAGCCCTCTCTCTGACGTGCTCGACGTTCTAATGCACCGCAGACCGACTCGTGATAAATAACTGTTTCAGGATTGCGAGAATAAGGCAACGTTACGGAATAAACCCCTTGATTCTAGGTGCTGCTACTAGAAAAACTCATTTCGCAAATCTTTTGCCAGAAATTTTCTACCGGTCAAACTGGCTTGTTTCTGATTTTTTCTTTTACAATTCTTGATATCATAAAAATGTTTCTATGAGAAATTTCTGGACGAGTCTTTATCGCAGCCTATATTGTCATTGATACAAAAAGAAGTTATAGAGTCAGTAGTTACAGCGTTAGCCCTTAGAGCTCTATGGGCGCATATATGCGTTTGGCGAAAGTCATCCGTGTAGCCTGAGGCCGCATTTATGTGTTTTCTCTAAGTCATCGGCTTGGACTAAGGGCGCATATATGCGTTTGTCGATTTTTTCAATCGATATGCAGTTATTTTCGTGTAAAATTAATACAGGGGCGCTCGTTAGTAATTTGCCTTCCTTAGGTAGCGGTTGGGCGATATTAGGGTCATAAAAATCCCCGGGAATTTCCGAAACGGAGATCCCATTTTATGTCCCACTCTCTAACCAATTAGATTTCAAAATAATTACCTGCACTGTCACCTTTTCGCGACTCGAAGCACTCGAAACGACTCGGTCAGCAGTATCGTCTTGCGAATGTAAGAACCTCACGGTCTCGCTCGCGTCAACAACGATAGTGCGGAATATAACTTGTTCGATTTTTTTTTTATTCGTCACATCCTACGAAATGTCAAATCTTGAGGAATATTTCACAAGGGACGACAGTGAAATAGAATATAGTGAATCACTATCATCGGACATTGAATCAGAAGATCAATTATTTAACCTTCTGCAAAAGAATCACTATAATTGATTACTGTTTGCGCCTTGAATAGTCACTTCGGTGTGGCAAAAAAGTATTCCTCCCCCAGCGATGGTCAGCGATAGCCGCGCTCTGTCCCTACGAACCGTTTCGGCCAGGAGTATTCAGAGCTCAAAAGGTTAAGCCCTATACTATTGTGTCAGACTCGTTAAGAATACAAGTAAATTTATATAAAGAATATAAGCCACTAAACGTGAATGTTACTCGTGCCTTTTAAATCGAAATCAAATTCTACCCTTCTATCATCGATATTTAAACATCATGGTATAGGTTGTAATCAACTTATCTGTGAAACAAATCATGGTGCAAGAGATTATTTTATAACAGTATGGAGAAGATAATATTGTCTTGCCCTCATCATAA